ATATTATTTACCTATATTATGCTATATATTTTTACTGTCATTTGTTCTCTTACATACAGATTATAGATATACATTCTATTATTCTTAAAATATAAAAAGTTCTCCCACTTTTTCCATTACCATGATTTTTAACCTAACCATTGATAAAACAAATCCAAAACCTTGTAAAATTGTTCATCTTCTTGTTCTCTAATTTCAAATGTCAATTTACTCATTTCTGCACGTTCCATAATTTTTTGAATAATTCCCTCCTGCATTGGTATTTTCCCATTTTTCCCATTTTTTGCAAATACAGTACAGTAGAACAGTAGAATTTAGTTATCAAACAGTCCAAAAAGTAAAAAACAGAAAAACGGAAAAGAAAAAAATCCCGCTTCATTTAACACTATGCTGAATAGAAAGTCCAGTCAGACTTCTGACAATAAAAAGGAGAGAGAAAAAGTAAAAACTTTCACTTTGACTGTAACCTTATATTCTCCGCTTGCTCTCTCTCTCATCAGTCTTTATTTTAGATTAGTTCTCTTCATTTGGGTTGTTCTCATAAATCAGAAAAAAGGTAAAAATCTCACCCTGAACGACATGCTCTCCTCTGCCTCCCTCCCTTCATTCTTCTTTCTTTCATCTTCCTTCCTTCCTCCCTCCCTCTCTCCCTCCCTTCCTTACTCAGCATAGTTCCTGCAGAAATTATTGAATATAGTTTAATTATTTTGTAAAAGTTGCACTTTGCAAGGCCCTTCCAAAGCTCCAGAACCATCGCAATAGTCCAGCCTCAGTGTAATTAAAAGAAGGATACAGTGAATGGGCTGAGAAAATGTTAATTAAAAGCATCTTCTGGAAGGACAAGCTGGTTGTACAATTTCCATTTTCCTTGCCTCTGGGAAGTGTCCTTCAGATTTCTGCCGGCAACATTGCTCTATGGCTTAATTTAACCACTTTTTGTTTTCTAAACCATGATCCTTTCTCTTCCCCTCTTAGGATGGAAAGTCGTATGAACAGATGAAGAGCAGTTTAGGAGACGTCTCTGCCATATCAGAAATCACAATGGTGAGTTTATCTGATTGACTGCACAGGTGGGATCTGGGGGTTGCCCCCTTTCCTTCCGGAAATGTGGGGGTCCGATATATAAAACAAATGAATTAACCTGAACAAGGACAACTTCCCCATCTGCATTACTGTTGAGCCATTGAGCTGTGGTGGCCAGGCATTGCAAGCAGACGCTGCCCACTGCCGACAGTTCGATCCTGACCGGCTCAAGTGGTTGACTCAGCCTTCCATCCTTTTGAGGTGGGTAAAATGAGGACCCAGGTTGTTGGGGGCAAATAGGCTGACTCTGTAAAGCACTTGGAGAGGGCTGTAAAAGCACTGTGAAGCGGTATATAAGTCTAAGGGCTATTGCTTTTGCCATTATTCTTCCTAAAAACTCACCCCAGTTCTGTCTACAAGCCAAGAGCACACGTGAAATCAAAAGCAGGATGCCCAAATCAATAATGAAGTACCAATAAAGGAAACTATTTATAGCTCGGGGTTGAAATAAGATAGTCCTTAATAGTCTTCTTGCCATGATCCAAACTAGCAAACATTGTCAACAATAATAATGTTACCTAGCTTGGATAATGAAACATCTGCAAGAAAACAGCCAAGTTCGGAGAGCACCAGGGAGCCTTCATAATGAAGGCCCAATGCAGTATTCCATTCATCCATTCATCCATTCACCCATTCATCCATTCCGTCCAGTGAGCATGGGGGGAATATTATCCAGAAAGTAAAGGGAGGGACTCTTACAGACCAAAAGATCCACACATATTTATATATATATATATATATATATATATANATATGCTGACTCTGTAAACCGCTTAGAGAGGGCTGAAAGCCCTATGAAGCGGTATAGAAGTCTAACTGCTATTGCTATTGCTATTCAGCAAGGAAGATCCGAAAACTAGGTACCATTGCTACCTCTGCAATGAGTAGTTTGCTCATCTTAATAGGCTTAGTAGGCTGTTTTTCAACTATGACATCCTTAGGATGTGTCAACATCAATTCCCCAGTCATTTTAAAGTGGCCAAGGTTTAGAAACACTGACCTATATCCTCAAAGTGAACTCAGAATAATTCAGAGGATCCATTCCAACACAAAAAAAAATTATTTCCATTGCTGGGACTGTTCCCCGGAATCATCTGAAGGACTTTTTAACGTTTAAAAAAAGAAATTTAAACTAATTGCAGGTAGCTTACATACCACAAGTACTTACAACCACAAATGGGAACAGAATTTCAGTCAGACAGTTTAGTTGTAAATCGGTTTTTTTTAAAAACTATTGTTGCAATTCCATTTTTTGGACAGTGGAGGGCGACATGCTCCCAAACAAGGACCTTCACTCTGGCTTAATAACAACCACACTCCCAAGGTGCTTAATTACAATACCCATCGTTCCCATCCAGCATTTCCTTGTGGGATTTTGCCCAGCGAGGTAAAATCTTGCTCGATGGGCAAAAAATGTTGGGCAAGCTTGGGAACTGGAAGAACTAGAAGCCATAAATTGGAGAAGGGGAGACAGAAGAAATTATTGAAAAGTCTAAAATCCTTCACTTAATTTCCCATTTCATCGGTTCACTTGCCTCCAAATTCTTTTCTTTCAGCTTCTGAGAAAACTTATTTTTATTATTATTTATTAAATTTATTTTAAAACTTATTTTATTATTATTTATTAAACTTCCACAGCAGCATCACTCAAGATCTGCAGTAAACTTTCAACTGAATGGAATATACAAACTATATATATCTATACCATTAAATCAATAGTCCTCAATTTACAACCATTCCGGTTGAAGTTGCAACGGCACTGAGAAAACTTCCCTCACACTTATTTTGGTCCCAACGTCCCCAGAGTTGTCACACAATCAAAATTTGGGCCCTTGGCAACTGGCATGTATTCACAACAGTTACGGAATCTCACAATTTTGTGATCACCATATATGACCTTCCTGATTGGTTTCCAAAGTCAAAAGAGGAAGTTGGATTTGGTTAACAACTGTGGGATTTATTTAAGAACAGTAATGATTCATTTAATGACCATGGCAAAAAGATCATAAAATTAGGCACGACTCTCTTAACAACGGTCATATTTAGCAACAGAATTTCTGTTTACAAGCTGAGGACTGCCTGTGACTCTTAAGAGATAAGAGTCCTTTAGTGCAGGTAGTCCTCGACTTACGACCACAATTGACCCCCAAATTTCTGTTGCTAAGTGAGACAATGGTTAAGTTTTACGCCATTTTGCATCCTTTCTTGCCACAGTTGTTCAGTGAATCACTGTCACTTTATCAAGTTAGGAAGACGGTTGTTAAGTGAACCTGGCTTCCCCGTTGACAGAAGGTTGCAAAAGGGGAATCCCATGACCTTGGGACACAGCAATGGTCATAAGTATGAGTCAGTTGCCAAACGTATGGATTTTGATCATGGGGATGATGCAATGGACGTAAGTGTGAAAAACGGTCATAAGTTACCTTTTTCCATTCCTGTTATAACTTTGAACGTCACTAAATGAACTGTTCTACATTGAGAACGACCTGTAGTAAGTGGGGCTTTACCCATGTGTAAAGTGCACATTAAATTGTACAATAAAAATCCTGGTTTTGGCTTTCCTTAGCATTTGATATTGGCTGAATTTACCCCCGTAAAAAAATCCCTGTGACCTTGAACGGAAGAGATTTTAATTAGTGTTTTTAAATCATTATTATACAGCAATTTTAGGTAATGATTGTTTCGCTTTTATTGTTTTATTAGATTGTTGTTCCCCACACAGTCATTTTTCACAAGACAAGCAACCACATAAATTTGATTAATAAATAACATATGAATGTTTTGAACAGTTATTGTATAATGGTTTTAGGCAATAATTGTTTTATATTTATTGTTTATCAGATTGCCATATTCCACCCAAAGTTATTTTCCAGGACAAAGGATGGTCCATATAAACTTTATTAAAAATTAAATAAATTAATATTTATATTATTATTATAATACCCTAAACTTTTCCATGACACCAACAGGCCTAGAAAACAACCCTCTCCTCTTTGAACCAACAGTGGTGTTCTGGGTGAAAAAACTACCCCCCAAAAAATAATAATAAAACTCACCTTGCTTCAGACTTGTGAAAGGGGCTGTGAATTGCCCAATAAAATCATTTTTCGTTGAGGCATCAAAATCTTCTACCATAAAACGGACCAGGGCAAGTTGCGGTACGTCAATTTCAAACTCAAATGTTTCATTCCAGGCTGGATTAAAACCTGGGCAAAAGCAAAACAGAAACAAATGTTTATTTATTTTATCTCACCTTTATAATTTTTAATNCTTCTTTTCTCCTCCTCCTCCTCTCTCCTCCTCCTCCCCTCCTCCTTCCTCCCCCTTCCCCTCCTCTTCTTCCTCTTCTTCTCCTTCTTCACCTTCCCTCCACCTCCTCCTCCTTGAGGTTGAGAACAGACCAGTTGCCTTTTGAAATGGCACATTTGAGACACCTAAGACCTGGATGACCGAGAATCTCCAAAGATAGAATAAAAAAAAAAAATTGATATTTTTTTTAATTTGGGGCCAGCTCCAACTTCTGAAGGAGAATTCTATATTTGTGGAGTGCAGGGTTCATCCTAGGAGAGCATTTACAGCACTTGTGAATGTAGCCAATATATTGATTTTGGAAAGGAACATAATTTTCAAAGTTTGGAGTTGTAGTGGTGCTATATAATCGTCTACTGGAAACTTCACCCCAAGGGCCAGAAAATATTCTGCATTTTAAGAAATTCTTTCTAACACAGTCAAGAGGAAACTTCTACCAGTTTCAGAAGTGTGCAGCTAGGTTCCAATTTGAGGATCTATTTGCAGACAGTCCTCGACTTACAACAGTTCATTTAGTGACTGTTCAAAGTTACAATGGTACTTAAAAAAAAGTGACCTGTTTTTCACACGCCCATTGCAGCATCCTCGTGATCATATGACCAAAACTCAAATGATTTTCAACTGGCATGTATTTATGACAGTTGCAGTTATTCACTTAATAACTGCAGGAAGAACGGTTGTAAAATGGGGCAAAACTCACTTAACAGTCACAGGGCATCTTTTTCAGTCACTAAACAAATGGTTGAAAGTCGAGAACTACGTCTTATTATTAATTTTGTTAGTAAAGGAAGAATAATCCATTAAAGGGGATCTCTCTTTTTTGGTTCTCTTTGCAGTTCTTCCTGTCTGATGCAGAATTTTTGGATATCTTTGGGAAGACAAAGGATGCATTCTACCAGATGCCTGCATGGAAGCAGCAAAATGAGAAAAAGCAATTTGGATTGTTTTGAACAAAAGGACAGGTAGTTTGTGACACCTGAAAACAGGATTGTCTACAAGTGCGGGGGAGGGGGGGACAAAGGTTAAGATGGGGCCACAAATTTATCTTAGAACTGTCAATGCAGGTTAAAAAAAATTGATGGGACTTCGATCGCTCAGTGGCTTACATCAATCTTGGCTGTTTTGACTTCCTGACTCAGAAAGAAGATGGATCTTGGAGGAAACTTTCCCTAACTTCAAATGGACAATTTAAAAAAATAAAATCTTCTTGAAATCTGTATGGTCAATAATAATCTTAATGAAAATGATTCCTCAGCTGGAAAAAACAGTACAAAATTGTTCCATTATTTTCACAAGAAATACATGAAAGTTTCTCTCAATTGTTCTTTATTTTTATTTTTTAAAAAAACATTATTTTATTTAGATGTTCTACTTAAATGGAAGCAAATTGAGGCAGCCATTTGGGGGATACCTGACATATATAGAGATAGTTGTACGTGAAAATTTTTGACTCACTACTTGTCTGAAACTGGGGTGGAATTGAAGAAGTGAAATGCACTGAGTAAAACTCAAGACATATTTTTAGATGCCAAACAGAAATGCGGGAAGGACTTAGAAACCTATAATATATATTCATGGTCAGTTTTGCAAATACAGGTCGCCCTTGAGTTACAACCACAATTGAGCCCAAATTTTGTGTTTCATATTTAACGAAACATTTGTTAAAATGACTTTCACCCCATTTTATAACCTTCCTTGCCACAAATCAGGCATCAAAACACAAGATTTTTCTAAAAAGTTCCATTTTAATTATGACAATAAAAAAATGCAGTCTTGATAGTGGACTATAATTATTTGTATTTTTTTTAAAGAGTGGTTTTTGTGGGTTTTCTTTTTCCTTTTTGCATTTTCCCCTTCATTGACATCAACATGAGGAAAGGTGTTATCACAGTTGGTTTCCAGTTATAGGCTAAATCTGATTTATATGATTTGAATTTTTGGTCCATGGATGCCATGAAAGACTTCTTGGGCTTTTATCAAGGTCACGATGGGTGAAGAATGGGTGGGATTATATTCTTACTGGAGGCCAGGATGGGATTTAAAATCCGCCCCTCCATTTTATTTCTTTAGTTCAATTTTTAACATTTTTAATAATATTATGCCAAGCTACATATATTTAGTAACTAGCTGGATTCCCCATGCTTTGTGACGAAATTACGGTATGTAATAGAACTATTCTCTATTACATAATTTATGTAATCTATTACAGGAGAAATTAGGTTCACAATCCCTTGGCTCAATGGTGGTCAGAGATTGAAACATATAAGGGAATATCCCTCCCGCTGTCTTGAGTCAGAAAGCAGTTCCTTAGGTGGAAGGCATAGATGTTTTGGTGAGGTACTGATGTTTAGTACTGTAAGGAGCCCCAGACTACTCCTGAGTGAAGGAATGGAACATCTGCCAGTTTGAATTGAGGTAACGGAATGTGAGGCAACTGGCAGTTAGAACAGAGTTCTTTTCAGGTGGGGAGGGAGAGTAGAATGTCTAACTCCTTAGCATCAGAGCATGTTACTATAGGGCAACTGGCAGTTGGAACAGAATTCTTTTCAGGTGGGGAGGGAGAGTAGAATGTCTAACTCCTTAGTATCAGAACATGTTACTCACTATAGATAAACACTGTATAAGAAATACTAATGATCTGATGGTCATTTTGAAAAATCCTTTCTTAGTGAGCACCTAGAAATCAAGAGGAACATACGTGCCAAATTTCAAGTTTGTAGGCTTTACGGTTCTGGAAATTTTGTGATGTGTGAGTTGTATTTTGCTTATATACATATAATGTCATGGAAATTAGACATGTGATCTGAGGGCCCTCCAAAGATAATGTAAAGCATCTGGGGAGCATTAGGTTACATGCTTGCATCCTGACAAAAACAAACTCTACTCAGAAATTTCATGTATGTCACACACATAATCCTAGTTTACTCCTTATGTTTTCATGAATCCTACAGATTCCTCATCACAGATTCACTCCCAATATATATGTTGTATATTCATATAACATACCATTCTACAAACTGACTATGCCAACTGCGTGAGTCACTAAATCAAAATGTTGGCTGGTTTGTGATCCACCATTTTGAAATAAATAGCATGATATGCCTGCAATCTCCTTTGATGCCAAATTGCAAAACAGAAAAAGACAAATAACAGGTGTTTTTTTTTAAAAAAAAATCATTTATTTAGGGTACTGTTTCCCAAACTTAGCAACTTTAAGATGTGTGGACTTTAAGACATGTGGACTTCAACTAACAGAATTCCCCAGTCAACATGGCGGAGGTCTGGGAATTGAACTGCACATGTCTTAAAATTGCCAACAATGATCTTGCCCCTTTCCAACTAAATGGTGCTTCATAAATTGGGCCTGAGTGAATCCTTTAATTGCACTGTGATTGAAATCAGCTTCAGGCCTCTTATAGTAAAGTTATCATAAATGAAGATACCATTCAGGTAAAATTGGTAGTTCTTTCCATCCCCCAGCTCTCCCCCGGATTTAGACACTGCTTTTCAAAAGTAGAGCAGAGATATAAAAACTCCAGAAACAATAGCCTTAAAACAATATTTATCTAATTTATTTTGTGCAGGATACCTACAGCCATCTTAGAGAATACAGGAAGTCCTCGACTTACAACCATAACTGAACCCAAAGTTTCTGTTGCTAAGTGAAATATTTGTTAAGTGAACTTTGCCTCATTTCACGACCTTTCTTTGCCGCAGTTGTTAACCGAATCACTGCAATCGCTAAATTAGGGCTTCCCCAATGATTTTGTTTATCAGAAAGTCGCAAAAGGGGACCACTGGGGGACTGCAAGCGACATAAATTTGAATCAGTTGCCAAGCATCTGAATTTTGATCACGCGACCATGGAGATGCTGCAACAGTTGTAAGTGTGGCAAAACAGTCGTAAGTCGCTTTTTTTCGGTGCCGTTATAACTTTGAATGGTCACTAAATGAACTGTCATAAGGACTACCTGTATATTAGGATTAGTTCAAACCTGCCTTGTCTGAAAGCAGGTGAAAATGCAAACCTTGCTTAATTGGATAATAATTTCTTTTTAAAATTCTAATGAAAGCAGAGGAATAAAAGGTTCATAAGGAAAAAAATTAGTTTGTACAAGGAAGCTCGAAAGAGTTCGAAAGTCCTGGATAAATCTACAAACATATACAAATAAAGCAGGAGTTCAGTTGTAGCTGTGATTATCATCTTGACTTTTCTTTAAACTCCTCCTGGAGTACGTATTTGCAAGGATATTGACTCAAAACACCTGGATATGCAATTCTAGAATTTTTCTAAAATAATCCCCATTTTCAACAGTTCAAAGGGGAAAAAAAACTTTATTAAAGATTTCATTATATCACAGTAATCAAATCACTGTTAAGCACTGCCAACAACTCTGTTCACTGAAATATTCATCTGGTGGATTTGGAAGAATTCCTTTTAAGTCATTTAGATTTGCTAATCAAAGTTGAGTTTCGGCTCCGATCCATTGCATTTGGAATAAAACACTCTCCTTAGAAAAACCTTGCATATATTTGCAGCAAGTACAAAACATTTACAGAGGCAAACAATCTCACAACTTATTTTCCTTCAAAAATAATTCCGTGATTGTAATCAAGGTTTAAACTAAATTACAGCTCATTACTAATAAAATGCTATCAACCGAATATCCACTTGCTGGAATCCATCATACTTTAATTTCACTACTTTAGTTTAAATAAGCCTGGATTTAACCCACTACCATTGTGTTTACCCCAGATCCCAAACCACAAAACTGCCAGAAGTCAGATACACAGTGTGAGGACACAGCTAATGATTTCCCCCCCCCCTCAAAAAAGGATATTTTTTGCAGCTATAAAAATAAAATAAAAATCAAACTATTCGTCTACTACTACTTTGCTGATGCAGCAAATGACAGAACGTGCAATATTGGCCTTATAAGAAGCACCCTGAGGCCCTGATTGGTCAAGTTACTAGTCCTTATTGTTGCTCATTTAAACTCAAGGGGAAAAACAGGTAAGTGATGCCAGTGAAAAGTCGAAAGAGTGTCTGGGAGAATTTACGCTAGTCACAGGAAAGTTGTGAAAGCCTTTATATTGTGCATTTCTTGACTGATGAAACTGATCAGAATTGGAAACTGCAGGGTGTGCCTATTTTATAACTACAGGAAGGGCAGATCATCAAATCCATTTTGAGACACCAAATTAAAACTCTGGAAATATCCCAGTTTAGTCCTGGTTACTTTGTGGTAAGTCCAATTTCAACATGGTCAGGATCCAACCATGGTTGGAAATGTGGCATTCTACTGTAGGGATTCCTGTAGAAATTACGTTTGGTCCGGACATTTCCCCCCCACAAATAAATACCCGGGGTAACAATAAAATTAATAAACCTTAGATGGGAGTTTAGCAACAATGAGGATTAGCAAAATGCAGATCACAGAAGCAAAGGCACTTTGATCATCCCACAGGTTGATTCTAAGATCACACCTGTATATCAAATCTGAGTTAGGTTCCTTTTCCCGTTCTCCCAATTTGAGAGTGTTTTTTTTTTTTTTAGGAAGCTATCAAATATTTTAAGTTCGCATTAAAACAATGTATAGGCAGTCCTTGACTTACAACTACACTTGGAACCAGGATTTGTCTTGCTAAGCGAGTCGCCCCTGATTTTATAACTTTTTTTTTGACATGGTTTTGTAAACAGAGGTGGGTTGTCACCGATAGTGGAAATTGGCATTTGCTCACCAAACCGGTAGGGGCAGCAGACTGGCCGCGCCCCCAAACTGGTTTGGTGCCGCAGCCGTTGCTGGCTTGGTTTTTAATCATTTTTTAATGTTCTGCGCATGCAGACCAGCAGCAATCTCGGCAGCACCACTGGTGGTTGTTAAGTGTATCAGACGTTAAGTGAATCCAGTTTTCTCCCATTGACTCTGCTTAACAGAAGCCAGCTGAGAAGGTCCCAAAATGTGATCATGTAATCCTGAAAAAGCTGCAACTGTCACAAATACATGCCAGTTGCCAAGCTCCCAAATTTTGATCATGTGATGGTAGGGATGTTCCAATACTCATAAGTAAGCAGACTGGACATCAATCACTTTTTCAGTGCAGTTATAACTTTGATTGCTCAACAAATAGTGGAACGTTCAGGACTAGCTGTAGACGTTTTTGTTTTTCTTCATATCTTCCCTAAGAGTTTCTTCCGTCTGACACCCACTTTTTATAAAACAATTGTCCTTCATTTAACACAGGGAATGGGTGTTTTTCCCCACTGACTTTTGCACTGTCACACTAGAAAACATAAAATTTGGGGAAGTGCAAACGTAATTCAGATTGCATTAAAATAAACCTAAAAAGAAACATATTTACTCTTTATTACTACTATTCCTCTCCTACAACACCAGTAAGAGCTCCTGAGAGTTCTTTTGCCCTAGAAAAGCAACTAGGATTAAAAGTTAAAGCACAACTTTCAAAAGGCAATATTTTTTTTTCTAGCTGTTTTCCAATGTAAATATTCAACTGGCATTAAGGCACGAATGGATCACCACACACGGCCTCCGAAGAGCTGAGTTTTTTTCTTTGCCAGGATACGGGGAAATGTAAAAAAAAAGAGAGAGAGAGAGAGAGAGAGAGATCGCTTGTGCATTCCCTGAAGTTTGTTTCTTCTTTTTAACAATTGTCCGAAATGTTGATATGCACAAAGAGTGTGGCAGATGGGTACTGATCTCCATTCTTCGTCAAAAGGTGAATGTGGCGGTAGCCTTGAGAAGGGGAGGAAAGAAGAAAAAGAAGCATTAATCTTTGTTTTCTTTGACATTATTAATTGCTGGTGAGCTAAGTATCAGCTCACTTTTTTTTTTATTTTGTAAATGTAAATGTGTTTTTATTTTCCATTTTCATTTTCGCACAGTCACGTATATACTGCGCATAACCGGGGCCATATAACATTA